ATTGGTGGGATGGTGGAATTGAATTAAGGGGCACTTAATCACTGAGCCATATCCCCAGTCCTTTTTATTTCATTTAGAGACAGTGTCTCACTGAGTTGCTGAGAGCCTCATTATGTTTCTGAGGCTGCCTTATATCTCCTGAGCCACTGGCATTAAAGGCGTGGGTCATTGCATCTTTACATATGGGATATCTATTTTTAATTTGTGAGGAATTGCCATACTCTTTTATCTAGTGTCTGCAACATTTTATATTTCCACCTATTGGTGAAGCAGGCTTCCAGAGTCTCCATATCTTTCCAGCCACTGATGACTTTCTATTTGTTTATAGTAGCCATTTTAACCCCCCCCCCCACCTTGGGGCCCCAAGCAAGGATGTAGCAGTTGCTAGACAAGATCTCTTAACTATGAGGGACTTTTGCAGACCCTCCCCGGCTTTAATTCTTCTAAATTTTGGGACAAGTTCTTACTAAATTGCCCAGGTTAGCCTTGAACTTGTGATGCCCCTGCCTCAGCCTCCCAGGGAGCCTGGATTACAGGGGTGTGCCATGTCCAGGATTAGCCTTCTTGCTGGGTGTGAGATAATGTGGGTTTGATACATTTGACCAAAATAACATCCTAAGCCCTGACTCCCACAGAAATGGAAAGGTGACCTTGACTTCACAATGACTTGGTGATGGAATGTGTTTGGGGCACAGTTAGATTTAAGCCTGGAGGTTTGGATAGGCCTAGGACTGACCTGGTGGTATGAGTGGGAGACAATCCATTATAAATCTGCCTTCCATGGGCATAAGGGCCACGGGTGGGACAAAACAGGCAGGGTTTTTTGTTTTTTTGTTTTCGTTTTTTTCTCTAAGGGGAATGCCTTGTAAACAAAGTCTGGGACAATCATCTTACCTCCCCAAAGGGCAGATGATCCTCCATATGGTTGCTTTGCCTGGGAGTGTTTCCATGGAAAGGTGAAAGACTGCTGCATTCTGGCTCTGCCACTTCCTAGCCAATTAACTTCTCTGAGTCTGTTTAATCCTCTAGGAAACAGCAACAATTGGGCTATGTGCTAGGATGATTGTAGGGAATCAACAGCACAATATGCTGTGTTGGGTATATTTGCATGGCCCAGATTTTTCAGGACAAAAGAATATATTCTCAGTGGCTCAAGGT